TTTCTTGCACATGCTGTTGGAATATGGAGTCGTGCTGATAGCTGTTGGGTATCACCTTTATCATCCTCTGAAAAGACAGTGCTGAGTAAAGCATTAGATGATATATGAAGTGAACAAATGACTTTCATGATTCGACTAGTAAAGCTTAACGGGGCGAAGTATGGCGGAACATATCGTTAAGTGTTTGGTTGAGGATAGAGATGAATAGAAGCTATCTATCATTTAGGACATTATCTTTTTAACGCACTTTGTTAGATCTCGATGATGAAGAAGAAGTCTTTAATGTCAAGAGAAGCCTGGCTAAAAGAGGAAGAGTGAAGCTGGTAATATCACTGTTTGTTGAAGCAATAACATTCGTGTGTGGTAGAATTCGCTGGCATTAATTGAACTTTCGCACTACACCTGTAAATCTTAGTTTTTGTGGATCTCCTCCCGCACAAAAATCACATATTTTTATGACAGATCAAAAAGCTATCGAGACACCGTTTTCAAAATAGTGATCCAATTTGACTCTGGTATTCGCACAACAAATGTTTAAAACAGAAGGTAGATGCTAGCGTTTGGGTCAATAGGTGTATCTGAACAGGGGGCTATGAATTGAGCTAAGAGTAGAAGTTGAATCAATAATATTGGGCTCATAAAAACAAGTACTGATAAAGTTACTTCACAGAACGACATATCACCTAAGTAAACCTAAGTAAAATTATAAAGAAAGGTTTATTTAAAAATTGAGCATGATCAAAGATGAACGCGACGCTTGGAAAATAAGGAAACGATAAATAAACACAACTTGTAGAAAAGATTGGCCTACCGTATCATCGCCAAAGCAGCTATACTTTTCGGATTCTGAATATCCATGATAAACAAAAATTTCGGTGCCCAAACGTGCGTCGTCCGCATTTTTGAACTGAAAATCAGAAAAATGCTGATCTGAAACAAGTCGCAAGTCGTTTTCTTACCTTCACAACACCGATTCCACAAGAGGGACGTCTATACCATTTAATCCGGAATGTCATCACAGCGTTCTTCACGCTGTTCC